ACAGTCTTCGGTAGACACTGCCTACACCCGAACAGGTTGAACTTCATGGTTTCAAAAATATGTAACTTACCAATCTTCACAACCCCTGTAATATCAATTTTATTGAATTAATATTTTGTATATGAAATACAGAAAATCTAGAACTTGAAAACTTTCTGATCTTGCGCAATTTTAGAATCTCTGAGAACTAATCATTATTGGTTCGCATTAGAAAGGAGATGAATACAATTTGTAATCTAAAAAATTACCTGTAAGAATCACTTGTTCAACCAACTAAAAATAGTTACTCAGTTTCTAACAGTACTTCCAATTTAATCCTGTTTTAGGATGGTGAAACAAAACTCATTAGTTTTGATGATGAAGAATTTATGCTGTAAAAGTTCATAAGGAGTAAATAATGCTCTATTGGACTACACAAAATCAAACCAATCACGTGATTTACAGTAGTGTAACTAATATTGCATTCCTATCTATGAGCCATTCTGTTGTACTTTTGTCATTATCAATACAATTCCTTTTTATCTACCACTGTTGTATTTGTCGGTCTCCTTCATTATTTAAACACATATCCAGCGATATTACTATTCAAGTTCTGTGTGAATCCATTCATTATCGACCATAGAGATTGGTAATGTACAAATCAAATACTACGTTAGTACAGTATACACTTCTTTTAAACAGAGAACACTGTGTTATGGTAAATGTCTCTGTATGTTTCAGACATAAGCTTTTCTTCATAACATAACCTAGTTTAAAGCTATTGTTCATCAATTCCCACGTTTACTCTTACATTAAACAACACACGAAAGTAGTAGGTTTTGAAGACAGTTACAATGCATCTCCAGATACAAACCTATAAATCAGATCTGAATCTCTCAGTAAACCTATTCCCTCTTTATCAATCGCAATTGAACTGTTAAGATTCAACAAAGAATCATATTAATTCCCTTGATATTGACTTTTTGGCTCAAATGTAGGCCAGGATTTTTTATTTAACGCAAATCATTCAAGATATGTTATATTCCAACGTCTAATTCTCCGTTACAAATGATTCGAGTTGAATTATGTATTTAGAGTATTTTCTTTGAACTGTGAAATTTTTATGAAGCAGATTTTAATTGAGTTCAAATACTTAGCAATCATGAAGTACAGATTTGATATTTATGGTGATCTTCAGGGCAGAATTTTTGCCAAAATCATGAAGTAATCGGAGTTTCACATCTTGCCATCCTTATTTGCATTTAAAATCCTGTTTCTGAATGTCATGCTGACAAAATTTTTTCTCACATTGAAACTCCAAAATGTCCAGCATTTATGATCAACTTAACAAATTAAAATGTTTTATGTCATGATAAAAAAGACTTCAGACTTCCAAACAAATTATTTCTGTAATTACTATAAATCTTACCAGTGATCTGGGAAATAAATTTGATCAAGTTAGACATTAACAACCGTTGGGTGCCGGGTCAGTGGTCTAACGGTTAAGGCGTTCGCGCACAATACCGAAGGTCCTGGGTACAGGAGTCGTGGATGCGCACTGCTGAGGGGTCCCATACCAGGACGAAACGGCCGTCCAGTGCTTCTAGGTTTCTAATGGTGGTCTAACATTGATCAATTCATGGTTTCAAAAATGTATTATGTAATAGTTATTTTTGTATACCATAGAATATTACATCATTATTTCATAAATTAACTATCATCTAGTCATAAGAATTTCAAATAAAATAAACATTGGGTACAAAATCAATCCTTAAAAATAATATGTATTTGTAGTATTTTAATACGTAGAAAAAATTAAAATTTCTTCATGTTTCTTGACACACTGAGAGGCCACCTCTTTAAAGAACAAGTAAACACATTAAATCAATCCTTTTTTAAGTCATACTAAGGAACAGAGCAAAAATATTTAGTATAATCAGTCAGTCGACCAAAAAGCAATTTTGACCAAGTCAATATCATATCATTCCGGTCATAGTGATTTATAAGAGATAGGCTTGTGTAATTGTATGTGTGATTAACGAAATGTCAGAAAATTTTAACTTGTGCACTAATTGAGAAAATACAAACATTATTTTCGGCATAATCTAACTAGATGCTTATAGTGAATTATGTCAACAACGTAGTACTTTGTACTTACGTACATATATCAGTTCAAGTTGCCATACCGCATAAGCATAGAGATTCAATTGACAATTCAAATCCCATGGTGGTAGATGTAGTAGGTAGAAGTATTAGTGGTAGTGGAGGAGATGAGGGTTTGACAAAATTATCCATGAAGAATAAATTTGAGAAAAGAAAGATCAAGGTGATCAGGAATTCAGACGACTAGAGTTTGAAAGAACACCAAGAATGGAAACACCAGAGTCATTACAAACGATTTTAAGCCATATCATTAAAGGTCGCGAATTTTCATTTTCAGTTTAAAAATTCAGTTTCCTTTAAGTGTAAGTTCCTAAATTTAGAGTGTTCACTTTTAATTTAGAGTTTTTAAAAGTACATACTGCTAAAGAATACAGAAAATATAATTCGTTAAGATTTTGAATCACTTATTAAAAATAATGCACCGATGCAAATCATTGCATTTTTACAAAGATTTGATATATTATAACGATGCAAATTTATTTGAAAAGTCAAGTATGTTTTATTTCATTGACTAATGTATTTACCGTTGACCGTACTATCTGACGCGCTAATAATATTCGAAGAAGCACAATGATTTAACTATAATACTTGTTCAATCACGAAATCAGTATGAAATCGAATTTCTGAGGTTCTGCTATCTACTGAAAGTTCCTTATTTATGGAATAAATAACTAAGTCAAATTAACACAAATTTAAGTAGTGAAATTCACTTTTTCATTACTTATGACTTGATAAACAGCATATAAAAGTATGAAACATCGAAACATTTTATTAGAAATACAAATCATATGTATCAACACTAATAGACATTGAATGATGATTTTAAATTATAAAATATAATCACCTACTTACTACTAAATATTCTACTATCAATGTACATCGTTAAATATGTTCGTTTGATTAAAACATTAAAAATCCAACTGTCAATTGATTCATGCTTTAATGCTTACAAGTAATGAACTAAACTAATAAATTTGCTTATGCTTCATAGAAGAATCTGACTAATTAGCATACTAACTATGCATAGTATATGCACGATTTAACCACAATCCGATTATAACCACCGGTTACAGATATGATAAAAACCAAGTAGTAAAATACATATAAGTTAAAAAAAAGATTGTTTTCATTCAGAATGCCATGTTTCACTCCAACATCGATTAATATTTATACAGGTATGCGAAAATCTTCAACTAATGAAGACAATTTACGAGTCAGTAATCAGTATGAAGCAGACTATATAACTGCACATAATAGGCCCAAAAAAATTTACAAATTGATGGTAAGAAGACAGGTGAATTATTATTGTTAGGTATAATGCAACAATAAAAGCCCTCATGCAAACTGCCTTGATTCGGATAGTAGGGGAAAGATACAATAAATGCCATCGTCCTTATAAAGGACACTTAGATTAACTGGAAAGTCTAACATATTTTATCTATTCTAAATTTATGACCAACTGAAAAATAGTTTCCACTAACAAGAACATACTATACGCCTTCTCACATCAGAGTGATCTCAGTCACTCATGATACATAATCAAATAAATTATGTTGTAAGCGGTATTAAAGACAGTATATTATGGTACAAGGCCAATAATGGTTTCAGTGCACATTGAGAATCAGCTGAAATGAAGTTAGGAATCAAAATTTCTTTTGTATTCAGCTCTATATCACCATAATTATTGCACCACACGTAAGAAAACTTAAATAATTATTATGATGAATGTATTTAAAACTGTCAATTCCAACCTTGATACGGAAAGTTCAGTTTACTTAGCATTAGTCTTCACTACTGATTCAATTTCTCAATCTGGATGTCCCAGAATAACAAACAAGTTTACTTTTGTAGTGGAACACTTCTACGAAGAAAATTTATGGAAAATTTATGCAGGCTTTTTAAGGGCTGAATATCAATATTTCCTCAGGTTTAACTCAATCCAGTTCTCAATAAATACGAATGAGGTCATATTAGTAAATTCAACTAAGTTATCCTGTATCAATAATATTTTGACAAATCTTGTTAAATTATTGGTAAATTATTATACTTTTGATATTTACCAGGAGTCTTGATGGAATCATTTATTGGAAATCACAAAAAGCACATATTGCATATTACCGTGAAAATTGTTGACATTACAGTTAAATTTATTCATATTTTGTGTAGTGTATCATTACTATCTGCCTGGTACTATCAATATTTTGTTCCACATTATTGATTATAACCAGTCAACGAAAACTAAGTAGAAAATTGGTAAGAAGCATGTGGATGGACCGACCTTTTCTTGCCTTATAAGTCCTTATAATTGTTATAATGATTATGAAGGTTAAACTGGTCAGATTGTGGTTTTATTTTAAAAATATCATTGCTCAACACACGCCATTGTTATTTCAGTTTTTAATCTTTTAAGATTTTCAAAACAAAAGTATAAAGAAATTTATTTATCTAGATTCTCCAACAATAGTGAAGACACTTTAATAAATAGTTCGTATTAAAGATTTCCCTCTATTAATAATGTAGAACTTATACATAAAACTTTAGTACTTCTACTTATATCGTTTCAAGTTTCATCATTTAACACTTATGTAAAGTTGAGGAAAGTGTAATAATGGGTTCATAATTTTGGCCATCTTTTTGAAGTTAATGGGCCAAAATAAGTCAAAAATAACAATTTACATAACTAATAGGTGTGCTTTTCACTGTAATATACCTAGAATATCCAGCTAGCCAATAGTTAACTAATTGTTTAACAATTTGTAGTACATATTTACCTATTCTATAAGCTATAAACTTAACAAGTATTTGAGTTCTCTTTCACGTGTGACAGGTACCAATAAATAGCTAAATAAACTTTAAAAAATTATTCTGAACAATATATTTGTTTAGTACTCATATTATATACAGACAATCAAGAGACAGGGTATCCAAGAATAATACTACCTGATTACTGAGATTTTAATTTTGACCTACTTATAGAATCCTCGGAACATCACGCTAATTATTATAACATATTTCCAATTTCGTCATCAATTAAAGCATCCAGCGTTTCAGAGTTCTCACGTAAAGGGGTTGACGCTTTATTCTTCTTTGAAGGGGTTTCTCGATTTTCTTCATTGAGTACTGGGATTGTAAGGCAAACAAAATATTTCTTTTCAGAACACAAGTGAACTCCCCATTGCCCAGAAGTATAATCAACGGATGTGCATCGTTGTTCACCAACTCGCATAGAAGTTAATTCTGGATTAGGTAAGCGAAGAAGACTGAAGTCACTTTTGCTACCATCAGTCCAATGCAAGACATAAATTGGTCTTGCAAAATCATTCACTGTTTTGGTAATTTTCCCACCTATCCAAAATGATTGTTTTTCTTGTTTAGATATCCACTTCACCAATGCTAAATTTTCTGGATATGAATGTACAGATGCAAGGGCTGTTCGTAGGACCATTCCATCCGTATTAATATGTGCTGGACTGAAAGATGGGTTCCGATTGCTTTGTTTGTCCCTGGAATCAAGCATGTCATTGGAATCAGGTAGTTGTCCAATGGTTTTGCAGTAATGTTCAGCTGCAGAAAAGTTAAGTTTGGCATTATCATCACCATGGACAAATGTGAAAACGCGGGGCCCAAGAGCACCTCGACTCTTTTCTAAAGTACAAACTGCATTACAGAAGAGAATAATCTGAACAATAAGTAGTAACATGATTTGTGATGAAGTGACGTATGAGTGAAGGTAACTGATGAATACAACTCAACTTAAAATTTTGAAGTCATAAATAAGTAAACTGTTCGAAGTTTCATCGAAAATAGTTTCGTCCAAAACAATTAATTACTTACATCTTTCAGTCGCCCTGACTTTATTCACACTAAAGCATGACCTTTAGATTTGGCAGCAGCTTAAAATTATACAACACCACAGGAAATGGGGTCTAGTAATAGCAGTCTTGCTAACGTGTCTAGGGATGAACCACTACAAAAGTTTGTCGGGAGCGATGAAATACCATCTAATAGCGAATACTGGGGGGAATTTTTGTCTTCGGTTGGCTCATCAGCAAATAGCAGGTGTGTTAAAATTTTACCTCAGTTCACCAAACTTTTGATACAAGCTCTCTCATAGATTTGGAGAAGCTAGACAAAAGTCTGTTAAGGGATCTAAAGAAAAACAACCCTCAATCTCGTAACATTCCTAACTTGATACAATTTCTCATATCAAAAATGTCCGAATTATTAGCCTCACCGGACGTGTATGTTGCATTTTGTAACTGTTAGTATTTCCAGATGCGAAGATACGATACTAATCGTCCAGAATGGATTACTTATTCTACGTTTGTCGGCAAAGTACCTAATGGAGCATTGTTCTGAAGCTAGATTTTTCTCTCACTTCTCCGTTAATTCTCCTGAGGGTATAACTCCATAGTGAAATAATGTTTTCCACAGATCCTCATTGTTTATCTGTGATTGAATGTTTATTCCCTGTACTTTTCAGGCTTATAACTAGTCTGCCTATTCAGTGAGTTTAATGTTACTACTAACATTTTTAGAGACAATACCTACTTGTTGCATTGTGAAGCTCATTTGTTGTGTATAGTGTTACTTTCTCGACAAATGTATAAAGAGCTATCAGCTCCTCTTCCACAGGTCTACGTTTCTGTTGTCTGGGGAAAGTGGTGAGTATGTTGCGGTTGTTAATTTTTATAAGCTACTGTATTACTTTCAAGTGTCTCGCTACTTTTGCTGACTAGTCTCTGTGTTTCCGAATTAATACAAATAGTCGGTCCAATTTTCTTAAAAACTGTTAAGTAATAGGTTTGAATTCAGTTATACCACCCATTAATTTTAGTTATTTACCGTCTCTAAAGTTAGTTTATTGAGTTGAGACTATTAAACATTGTAGTAACCCAAGATCCCTCTAGGTCCTCAATTAATCAATCAATAGCAACGTAGAATTTCGTACGTACGTACATCAGTTCATGTTTCCATACCACATTAGCACAGAGATGTAATTGTCAATTCCAATGCAATGGTAGTAGAGGTAGTAAAGATATTAACAGCAGTCGGAGAGGTTAGGATTAGATATTATTCAAGAAGTATCTAGTGAAATAGACTTAGAAAGATAAAGTGTTGAAAGATTAAAAAGTTTAGGATTTGAGAGAACGCAAAGAATAAATGCACCGGTGCCATTGCAAACGGTTTTCAGCCTTGTCATTCGGGGTCTCTAGCCATCGGTTAATAACATTTCGCGGACCCCAACCAGGTAGTCGACAACTACCGACATGACTCAGTTTACTTGTCAGTGACTTCGTAGATTTGTGCCATGTTTTTTTGTTTGGCCGTCCCTAGCTTTCTTCCAACCTACTCCTACACCATAAAACATAGCTCCATGTGACAGTCGGTCGGTTGTATGCTATTACGTGTTGCCTCTGCCTTTTCCATATCTTTTGCTTTCGCTACACACTACTACTCGTGCTTATTGTGTAGGCTTTTTTATAACCCTCTGTTTAAGCTGCCTTCGTTCCTCGTCGTGTTAATAGCTGGACAGGATGAGTTTCCGAGCATCTGTCAGTTCAGTGGAGGCTACTGAAATTCACTGATTTTTCCTAACCTTTTGGTTTACTTTGCTGACATATATCACTACTGTATCTACAGCTTTTTGACTGTTATTCCAAGCTCTCTCAGGTTGGGTACTATTTACATTGCTGTATAACATTTCTTGTAGTTGTTCTTAAGGTATACTCTTGGCTTTTTATCGTTTGGTAGAACTTTAAGGGATTTCGTTGCTGTATCTCTCACGTCTGGTAAGCCGTAAGCAAATACGTGCTCGTACTAGAGCATGATCTGAGTTTGAACATGTGTTCCAAAACGAGTGGCACTCTTCTATCGAGCCTCTCCAACAACGGTCCATAGCAATATGGTCTATTTGAGTTCAGCGTTGAATGCGTATTGGCGTTTCGCCACATCAAAAGATGTTCTTCGTGTTGAAAGTTGGTGTTTGCTAGAAATAGGTGGTTATCTGAGCACAGCTACTATACCTTAGTTTTTATTTGTTGTGTTTGTCTCTTCATAACAACTCCATTGTTGCATTTTAAAATCAGAAACACTTTAAAAAAAAACTAATTTGATTAGCTCTTAGCCAGTTTGTTCTTTTTTCCCATTCTAGTGCTCCTCTTGCTCCTGCTTTAGTCTACCGACTATTGTCTAACTTTTCTGAAAATCGTCCTGTCCCAAAACTTTTACATGGTATAGAACAATACAATTTAATATGGCGTGCAGCATCATCTATTGCAGGTATGTCTGATCCACCTTGTTGCATAAGAGTATCTCTTTAGTAAATTCATTTTTAAAGTTAGTTGCACAGGTAAACCGGATTTCATGTTTAGTATTTGTATATTCAAGGTCATAAATGTGTTTTGTATAGTAACTTGATGATGATTAATCATTGTTAAGATTTGCATTTACCTATTTTCTTTGTGTTACTGATGAAGTAAACGATATTTAATCAAAGATTGCTGAACTTAAATATATTCAGTTGACTTTAATCACCCATTAAGTTTTTATTAGTAATTGTAGTTGATAAAACCATACGAAATTGTGCGTTATTATTATAAAATTCGTCTGTTTTAATTTTAGGCGGTCTAGTTTCAATCGTTACACTTGGTGGTTACTTCAGTCGCACTACTAACAACAGTTCAACAAAATCTGATATATTGAACAATTCAAATGTTTCAGTTTTTGAACCAGTCAAAAACGATCCTTCTTCAGATCTTTTAACATCAGAATCAACTATCAAACCAAATGAACATTGTCATCTATTGTCAAATGTCAGCTCACTACTTTTATTGATACTCACCACTCAGGCTGGATCTATTGAGAAAACTATATTATCAACTTATTCGGACAATAATATTAAAGATTCAAATTCTTTGGGACGAAATCCTTATCGGGTAACACTTTTTTCCTTACAAGATGAATTTATTCAAAAAAATCAAGTGGATTCAATCATGGAAACAACTCATTTACTGCCAAAATCAAGTTAGTCTTGAGTATTAAATCTTTCAGTGCACATACTTCACTCACTCCACTGATGATGATTACTTTTTCATATATGATGCTAACGTTAAATTTCCACTATTTATTTCGACAGAGTTTCGACAGTGTTAACTGATGAACAAGAAAGTATTCGGTTTTTAAAATGTTACATCTCAACTTTCGTCTATATGACCTAACTAACCTGATCAATATACGCCAATATTCAGATTTACTGTTCTAGTTAGAGTAAAAAAAGAGAATTTTCGATGATAAAGTGGAGGTGATCACAAAAATAGCACAAGAAAATCAGTCAGTCAGTTGCAACGTAGAACTACGGACGTATGTACATAAGTTCATGTTGCCATACCACATTAGCACAGAGACGCAAATGTCAAATCAAATCCCATAGTGGTAAAGATAGTAGAGGTATTAATGGTAATGAAGAAGACTAGGGTTCGAAAATATTATTCAAGAAGTATAATTAAGTGAAATAAGGTTAGTAAGACAAAGGTAGAGGTGCTGACGAATCCAGAACATTAGGATTTGAGAGAGCTCAGAGAATGGATGCACTTGCGCCATTGCAAACGATTTTGAGCCATGTCGTTCAAGGTCTCTAACCACTGGTGACTTTCATCTCGCGGACCCTAACCAGGTAGCCTACATCTACCAACATGTCTCAGTCCACTTGTCAGTGACTTCCTGGATTTTTGCCATATTTTGGTCTCGTCACCCCTAGCTCTCTTCCAACCTATTCCTACATCGCGAAAAATGGCGCGTCGCGGCAGTCGGTGGCTAGGCATACGTAACACATGTCCCAACCACCTCAACTGATGAAGTTTCATTACTTCATCTATTGGCCTGCCATCCGTACCTAGCACCCGTTTTCTAACAATAACATTGCTCACTCGGTTGTCCCAGCATGCATGAGCAATGCTTCTAAGACATCTGTGATCGAAAACCAGTAACCTACGAACATCTTCTACTCTTAACGGCCATGTTTCACAGCCATATAAGAGAACGGAACGAACTGCTGCGCAGTACACCCGCCCTTTGGTTAGCGAACGGATATCACGCCTACGCCATAGGTGACGCAGGTTGGCAAAAGCCAATCGAGCTTTTTGTATCCGAGCTGAGATTTCGTCAGTCACCAGACCGTCAGCACTGATGAGACTCCCCAGATAAGTGAAGTGATCTACACGCTCGACTACTTCACTCCCTATCACTAGTTCAGGTGCCGAAGCAACCCAGTCTTGAAGCAACATTTTGCATTTCGAGGGGGAAAACCGCATCCCGAACATGCTCGCATTGTTGCTTATGGTAGTCAGAAGACTCTGCATTTTGTCAGCGTCTTCACCGAATAGAACTATGTCATCGGCATATTCTAGATCAGTCAGCGATTTTTCTGGTAGAAGGTCAACACCTGTGAAAATCTGACGAGCTTAATGTTAACTCTAAGAGGATGTCTACGACAAAGTTAAACAAGAATGGAAAGAGTGGACAACCCTGACGGACACCACTTGATGTAGAGAATTCAGATGACAGATCGCCATATGCTCTCACCCGACCAGTAGTGTTCGAGTAGAGAGCTTGTATAAGGTTAATGTACTTGTTTGGTACAAGAAAATCAACTTTTAGGGTATGCAGAGTAGAACAATTGCGGTTACACTATTGTTTACATTATTATATTCGAATAAGCATTTGTATTTCAAGCTTGTACAATGTCACAAGTTTTTTTTCAAAGTAATTGAGGTGTTAACCAAGTTGAAAGAAGTTAGACCCCTGATACAAATTGCAACTTTACTGAAAAATGAAAATTTATTTCTTCAATGATTATAGTATTTAGTCTTTATTTCGCCTTAAAATGTAACGCGGAATAGCTCTTGATCTCTTTCGCAGCTTCAATTGCTGCAAAAATAAAGGGAGAAGATAATCAAAGCTGAAGTTTATTTTACATTGAAATCATGAATGAAGAATTTGAACCCAAGATTTTCAGTCTGACGAGCGAGCGCTTAACCTCTGCTCTGGACCACTGAAGCGGCATTTGTTGGTGTTATTATATAGCTCTGATCAATCTAAGGATTTAGCGCAATTTCGGTAGTTACCGCCTACATTCGACAGGGCTGAACTCCACTAGCCACGTCTTCTAACTAGAACTCTGAGAATTTCATCACGAAGCTAGTTACTAGTGAGCGCATTGTACGATTTTTCATTATAGAGTTATGGAGGTTGTTCTTTATTACTGAAATGTGAATCAGTTATTGTTGGACCATTATTAGGAACCTGAAAGCACTGGATGACCGTTTCGTCCTGTGTGAGGTCTGGCAAAATCCCTAGTTTGATCAGACCTAGACATTAATACCATTCAATACCAGCTCAGTGGTCCAGACATTGAGCGTCCTCACACAAGACCGAAGACCCTGGGTTCGAATCTGTCGAGCAGGAGGAGTCGTGCATGTGCACTGTGGAGTCCCGTAGCAGTTAAATACGGCTGTCCAGTGCTTTCAGGTTTCTATTGGTGGTCTAACAATGATTGATTCATGATTTTAGTAAGAAATATATTTCATTGTCAGTCAGTCAGTTACACCGTAGAACCTCGTACGTAAGTACATCCGTTCAAGTTGCTATACCACATTAGCACAGAGATATAATTGTCACTTCAAATCCTATTTTAGTAGAGTTAGTAAAAGTACTAGCAGTTATTGGAGAGATTAGGGTTCGAGGATGTTATTCAAGAAGTATGATTCAGTGAGGTAAACTGAGAGGGAGGAAGATAGCGTTGATGTGGAATTCAGAAGGTTAGAATTTCATAGAACACAAAGAGTAAATGCACCCTAACCACGTAGCCTACATCTGCCAACATGGCTCAGTCCACTTGTCAGTGACTTCCTGGATTTTTGCCATATTTTGGTCTCGTCACCCCTAGCTCTCTTCCAACCTATTCCTACATCGCAAAAAATGGCGCGTCGCGGCAGTTGGTGGCTAGGCATACGTAACACATGTCCCAACCACCTCAACTGATGAAGTTTCATTACTTCATCTATTGGCCTGCCATCCGTACCTAGCACCCGTTTTCTAACAACAACATTGCTCACTCGGTTGTCCCAGCATGCATGAGCAATGCTTCTAAGACATCTGTGATCGAAAACCAGTAACCTACGAACATCTTCTACTCTTAACGGCCATGTTTCACAGCAATAAAGTAGGACATAGCGAACTGCTGCACAGTGCACTCATCCTTTGGTTAGCACGCAGATATCTCGCCTATAACATACATGACGCAAGTTAGAAAAAGCCAATCGAGCCTTCTGTATCCGTGCTGTGATTTCGTCAGACATCAGGCTATCAGTACTAATGAGTTTCCCACGATACGAGAAGTGGTCAACACTCAGTTACTTCACTCCCTATCGTTAGTTCACCAAGCAGAACCATGTCATCGGCATATTTTAAGTCAACAAGCGTGTCATCTGATAGAAGATCAACCCCTGAAAATTCAGACTAAGATAATGTTTTATCTAGAAGCAAGTCTATGACAAACTTAAACAAGAATGAAGAGACTAGACAGCGCTGACGGACACCATTTGAAGTTATGAATTTCGATGAGAGTTCGCCATAAGCTCTAACTCGACTAGTAGTGTTCAAATAGAGAGCTTTCATAAGTTTTCCGTACTTCTCTAGTACACCTTTTAGTGACAGACACTTCCGCAGAACCTCAGGATCAACATAGTTAAATGCCGCCTCTAAGTTCAGGAAGATAACTATAATCAGAAGCCTAAATGTGTGTGTGTTCTAGGACCTGACGTAGTGTAAAAATGTGGCCTATACAGCCACGTCCAGGTCTGAAACCAGACTGGTTTTCTCGAGTCTGCTCTTCGCGAGCTCTAGTTAGGCGTCTAAGTATAATCGAGGCTCACAATTTAGAAACTATATTAGTTAGACTTATTCCCCTGTGATTGTCACAAGAGGACTTTTGCTCTTTCTTGTAGACTCGGACAATTAGTGATTAAGACCAGTCAGATGGTATTACGCTCAGTTCCCAGATTCTGCCTAAGATATCAGTCAATCTAGCTACAAAAACTTGACCACCATCCTTAAAAATCTCAGGAGTTAACCTATGAGGATCTGCTGCTCTACCTCGCTTTAGATTTCCTATCGCTTTCTCAACTTCATAAAGACTAGGATGACTTATACCGATTTGCCATTCAAGATGACTGGAGATCGTGGGCAACCCAAGTGTTGCTGAAGGCCAGTTGAACTGATCTCTGAAGTGTTCTGCCCGTCGATCCAATCTCCTAGATTGAGAATGAATGATGCAACCATCCTTTTCTGCGATAGTTTCTCTAGCAGATGGGTTTCTAATACCGGCGGAAAAGTTGTCTACTGTTAAATATCGCCGCTGCCTTTTCTATCGCTTCTGCTTTTGCCACTCACCACTGTTCGCGCTCGTTACGTAGGCTTTTTATCAGCCTGCGCCTAAGCTGACTTCGCTCTTCATCATGTTCAGAGCCAGGTGGGATGAGTTTTCGAGCATCCACCAGTTCGTTAGATGTTACTGAGATCCACGGCTTCTTCCTAGCCTTATGGTTTACCTTGCCAGCAGATATCGCTGCTGTTGCCGCAGCTTTTTTAAATCATTCCAAGATACCTCCGGATAAAAATTGCCTACATGGTCGTCTAACTGTTTCCACAGTCTTTCCTGAAATATATTCTTAGCTGTGCTATCATTAAGTAGAACCGTAAGAGCTTTCCTTTCGGTGTCTTTCCTACGTCCAGTAAGCGCTCGCACTAGAGCATGATCAGAATCTAGACATGTGCCCCATAACGAGCGACAGCCCTCTATCGAATCTCTCCATCGGTGGCTGGTGGCGATGTGATCTAGTTGGGTTCAGCGTTGGGACGACTTTGGGGGTTGCCAGGTCTGGAGATGTTTTTCCTTTGCTTAAAGTTAGTGTTTGCTAGGAATAGGCGGTTATCTGAGCACAGTTGCAACAGACGGTCGCCATTAT